CAACGGCACGCAGCAGCGATAGAACACGGGCCCAAGACGATGTGGCGCACTGCAGACGATCCGGTGTCGTCGGCTAGCGGAGCCAAAGTCCACATGCGAGATTGTGGTTGGGCAAAGCTCCACTCCATTACGATGGACTAGGACACTTCTAATCACACAGAACAGGCTCTGAACATGGTTCCTGGAGCTCGGAGGCCATTCTGAGAGACAGTCTGGGAGACATGCACGCTCCAGCTGCAAGCTCCGTAGGCGCATCTTCATTGATCACGTCCGTGCGAGTCCAACGGACACCATGTCCACAACCTGATAACGTGCGTATTGGATTCCATTTCATTTTCACTTTTGCCATGGACTACAAACTCCACATTGCGACCGCGCCGTCGGCCCCGGTCTCGATCCTCGACGCCCGCTTCGTCACGACGACCAAGGCGACGTGGAGCTACGCGTCCAATGCGCCCAACCAGTCGCTTGTGTACGCCAAGAAGCAGCTCTGCGACGCCAGCGGTGCTGTTGTGGCAACCCTCTCGCGCAAGGCCTTTTACTGCAGCAATGATGACACGTACGCCGTGGCGAGCCCATACTTGCAGGCTCCCGGTACCATCACGACCTCCTCCAGCGTGTGCTCCATGCGCTCTGCGTTCACTTGGGTATTTGACGACCGCGGGTCGGAGCTCGAGCTCTCGGCCTCTGGCTTCTCGCTGCGTCCTGTGATCACGCTCTCGACGCCGACCCAAGTGACCCGCGTCGTCGCCACTGTCGGTGCGAACAACACGGTGACGATCGAGGCTGGCGTTGACGCGGCCGCCGTCCTCGTCCTTTGCCGCATCTGGTCGTTCAATTTGAACATGGGCTGGCTGGTTCTGGGCACCGGGATGGTGCCCGTCGTGCTCGCAATCACCGGTGCCGCGATAATTTTCGACACCGGGACGTCGCTCGGCACCGACCTGTATGTCGCTGGGTCCATAGCGTGGTTTGTCTGGTCTATTCTCATGCTCTTCGTTATCAAGCACTTTGATGCTTGGCTCTAAGTTGCCGTTAACAATTCTTCTATCCAACTTTCTATCGAGGCCTCTCTTCTTTGTGTTCCAACATCAGCTATAGGAAGGATAGACGACGAAGACGAAGATGGTAGACGCGCGTGGGAAAACGTCACAGCCACTGTTGCGTCGTCGCCACAGACAAAGATGATCTCTGGAGCCGTCGTCCGCTCATTGTCATCACAGGCGCAACGCCACGGTAGACTTTTCGTTGCCTTGCGATGGCGACCTCGTCAAAAGATCAAGCGTCGTTTGTTGCCACAAGGGTTCCTTCTCGGTCGACATGGCGGGTGATGCTACAAGTATGAAGCTCACGCCTCAAGGGTCTGCACGATCATGTGGAGACTGCATGCATACTACGTTAGACCAATGACTCATGGGCTTTCCTCTCCAATACGCCTACCTGGGCGATACTACCTTGGTATGCACTGGACCTTCTACGTGGCGCGGTGAATGTTTAGCTCGATTTAACCTCGACTTTAGACCTTCCTTTGGACAGTCGAGAGGTGCGTGCCACTGCGTTTGGCGCTTAAAAACGCGCTCAGCTCGATTGAACGCCACAAAAGCACCATCATTCCGCTGTTTAAACGCATTATCAACTTTGTTTCAAGTGGCCCGGCAGGAGCGTTGGCAGGCCCCACCCTTCGTGCGCTGCTGCGGTCTTGCGCACGCAGTCAAAGACGAAGGCCTGTAAGGCAGTGTGTCGACTGCCAGCACGCGACAGCCAGGCAGGTGACGCGGTGTGGGGCTGCGGCCTGCTGCGTTAAACTAGCTCTAACGCGATAAACTTAAATGTGGCATGTGCCGCATTTACCGGATGTCAACCGGACGAAACCCCTGTAATTCAGTGTGGTCCGCACTCTCTCTTTTTCTGTGCCGAGCGCAAGCGGCAGGATGGCGACGCCGGCGACCGCTGCCTGGCGCCTCGAGATCTCGGAAGAGATGCGCAAGACGATGATCACGGAGATGTAGGCGCCCGGCATGGCAGCCATGAGGCTCATGCGTCTCTAGGTACCACGAGCTCCTGCGCATCTCGGGCGAGAACGACAAGCAGAAGGTCTGGCGCTCCGCGGCCAAGTTTGAGCTCATGCTCTGGACGCAGTCGGAAGACAAGGTATGGCGCGCCGCTTCGTGGCATGCACCCTCATCATGCAACGCGCCTAGACAACGTACTTGACCAAGCTCCAGAAAAAGATTGCGAGCCTCAAGAAGAAGTCGCAGACG